GGACACAGTAACACAAGAAATCTAGCCTGGCTACAGTGACCTTGCAGATATTGCCCTGTAGAATAGTGTATCTGCCGACCACAAGAGAGGAAGAGCGCTGGAGGAACAGGAATGGGAACGTGCACATTTGTGATCTCTCCAGCCACACTGAGCAGAGACTGTGCACGAGGCAGCCACTGTCAGGATGAATTAAAAATGGCTTTAGGCTCAAACAACTGACAGGCTGACTACAATGGAGGAATAAATACATCTGAGAATGACACCTGACTGGACCTGTAAGGATGAGTGCAGCCACGGTAAGGGACAGTACAGAAGTGCCACTGTGCTCAGGGAGTCAGGAGGCAGGTCACAGGGTGTGATGCAGCAAGGAAGGAAGGGGCTGGAGACACCTGGAAGGTCGGGCCGGGGCCAGGTGACAGGGCCTCTGTGCCAGATGGGGGAGTGTGGTGGAGGCCATGTAACTGTCCACATGCTGTGGACTGGCTGGGGGTGGGGTTCCTGACTGCCCCTTCCCAGGGGTGCCTGCACTGATGCTCCCCGCCTAGGGGCATTCTGGCAGGAAACTAAGATGAAGTGGTGCTRCTGGCACTGGGCAGCTGGACTGATGGCTGAATGCTCTGAAGTGAAGCCAAGGCCATGGCAGTCAGAGGACGAGGCAATGGGGAAGGTCTGTGTGGTGGTTCCTGGGCACGGACTGCATATGCAACTGAAGGGGTGGCAGCAGTGAGGTCTTCTTGGTGGTGCCATTAACTGTGGTGGACACCCAGTCCACTGAGACTTGAGGCTGCCCTGGGGGACAGGTGCAGACAGTGATGGTGATATGGAAGAGAGCTGGGGACACCTCCCGGCCCAGAGAAGGTGTAGGGACCACAGAACACAGTGGGGAGGTGATAACACAGACAAGAGCCTGGGTGTCACTTGTCTGTTCCCCCTGAAACTCACAAGGGCTGTTCATAACTACAGCAGATCGTTGGCAGAGGGCCCAGCTACCTTGAGGGTCAGCCGGGGCTTGCCCTGGAGGAAGTGGCTGCTGATCTGCCGCTGGATCTTCTCCAGGTCAAATTCCTGCGAGGTCTCCCCACCTTGCTCCACTTGATACTGGCAGTTGGAGAGAATCAGAGGCATCAGGTCCCGCTCCACTTCGTAACTGACAACATGCAGGTCAGTGACCTCTGAGGCATCCACGGAATAGCTGAGGGACACAAGATACAGTCTTGGTGTCCAGAGCAGGCGTGTGAGGCCTAGGGCTTTGGGGCATATGCTCCTGCTTCTGCATTAGAGTGTAAGCAAGTGAAAACCATGTGCAAACACGGGGCTTTATTGAGGAAGGCTGAGAGAGGATCTGGGGGACAGGAGCTGTTGCTGGCTGGAGTCTGCAGCCCAGCTTGGTGGCAGGGTGGTGAGTTTACGCAGTACCTGTTGTTTTCCTTGGAGAACTTCTCCATCGTGTAGATGATTTCATTATGTAGATTAATCAAGTAGCTGACTAATGCAGTTGAGCAGAGCCCCAGGCCCTGACGCCGGGGCAGGATGACCTTAAAATCTGTGTCCAGATCCAACTCAGAGTTGTAGTAGCCTTTAGGTAACTTGATTTCACCTTTAAAAGACAGGGTCATTACTAAGCAAAGGGATGTTGCTCCAGGCGTTTGTCTGGAGGCAGGGGAAGAGAAGGGAAGCCACGGGCAGCCATGTCCAAAGATCTAGGCCCTGGCTGTTAAGTTTCCAGTGCCCCCAACTCCTTTCTGATTCCATATTTATAGACTCGAGATGACTGAGGGTGACTTTGGAGGTTGACTCAGGTATCCCAGCACCTCCATCAACAGGTTGCGTGGCCACACACACCTCAGGGTGCTGGCAGAGCCACGTGGAGGAGGACACTTACCATTGGTCTCCAGTGACCGCCTCAGGGCATTCCACGTGGACAGGAAGGTGGTGATCCTGTTGTGGAATAGCTGCCTCAGGCCCTCTGTTGAACACAACACTTGGTAAGACCCCATGGAAACAACCCCTACCATTACCCTGGCCAGGGTCAAACCACAAGGCGTGCTCCCAAGAACCTGACCCTGCACCTTCCCTCACTCAGCAGCATGCCTGAGTTTCAAGTTTTAGGCTGTATGAGAAGCTGGAGAGGCTGAGGGCTTTCCAGCCACAGCAGTGGCTCATGGCCATCTCTGGGATTTAGCATCCTTTGCCTCTTTCTCTACCTTAGGACCTGAGCCCCACCCTCATGTCCCAGCCTGAATGATCCTTTTGAACCACCAAACAGGGATGGTCCTGATCTTTGGTTGCAGCAGACAGCAGTCATACCTGAACTGTGACTGCTAATAAAACTCCTGATGGAACAGGAATATTCATCTTCTGGAACATTCTGGAATTGTTTTACTAAATCCCTTTGCAGGGCCAAAATCTCAGGTAAGAATTTCACCAGTCTCAGTTCTGCTTCCTGGAGAAGAGAAGAT